CTTATGAGGAATATAAAATGGCAGCTAATGACTCAGTGAATAGACAAAGGCAGGAATAAGCTAAAAATGAAGAAGGGAAGAAGATACTTGGCACTGCCTATCAGCCCATATACTCTGGCGACATGAGTTCCACGGGACTCTAGCTCCTGGTTTTTGAATGCTTCTCAAACGCCAGGTGTGTTTATGATTTACATATACTCTCATTTAATTCTCAGTAATATAATGAGGGAGGCAATGTTTTCCCCATTTTATCCATTTTCTAAATAAGGATGTGAGATGTAGAGGAGTGGCACGCCTAAGCTCACATAGTCAGAAAATGTAGAGGCAGGGTCTAAGCCGGGACCCAAGCTTGCCTTATGTTGCTTACCTCTGATCAAGTTCAATCCAAAATTCAAAGTAGGAAATCTAGTTGAAAGGAAACAAGGGTTGCTTCAGAACATTTCTCCATCTACAATAGTGACTCTTATTATGTGTTGGGTCTCAGACTCATAAGACACATTTATAAAAGTGGGGGACCCTCTCCTTAGAGAAAGACATATATGCTCATAATTGTTTGCATGTGTAATTTTTAGGGGTTTCAAAACTCTGCAAAACTAAGGCCAAGAAACTGTGACCTGAAAGTTGCCACTGAAGAGAGACCTAGATCACAGATAGAATCTGACTGGGATGGAGTGAACAGAAATGTCTCCTTGGCCAAGCCAATCCGGTTGGTGCAAATCATCCTCTAGTGTAAGCAATTCTTTACAAGCAGAGAATTGAACCTTAATAGGACTAGTCATGATAGACAAAGACCCCAAATTATAAAGGTACTCACAAAGAACACAGGTTACAACCCCATTTTTGAGGGACCTTTGAGTGAGCCAGATGCAGTGTGCAAGGGAGTAGCAAGAATGTTGCTAGAATAAATGTCAACTTTACCGTTGGGCTGTGCTCCTTGGTCATGACCTTGAGGCTCAAAGAATTGGCTCAGACAGTTCTGACCCGAGTAGCCATTTCACAGACAGCCCACAGCCCAGCAGGTCGCTGCTCTCTCACTCTGCCATCATGACATTGCCATCTGCAGCCGCTGAGCTGAGATTTCTCAAGACCAAATTTATCACACCCGAGATTCCATTCTTACATAAGAATCACCTGTCGCTGATGCATAAACTTTAGCACCTAGCAGAGCCAAGGGTAATGAGAATTTAAAAGGAAGGGGCCTGAATAAATCCAAGCAGATTTCCTCTCTGTGGGACTGAGTTTTGAAAAACCTTTGTGCCCTCCTCTGCCTCTCAAAGGAGACTGTCATTTTTCTACTTTCTGTCTGCATTGCTATTGTCGGGGGAACGATGCTCTCAGAGCCAGAGGCAATCTATCTTCTTGGAGGTTCTATTCAAGCTCTGACCTCGGTTTGTTGCAGTTGATGTCTCTTCTCACAAGTTTGAGCCTGCTCTCCTCACCAGCTAAATTAGCCATAAAGTACCTTGATTCACGTTACCGAAGCCTCAGAGACATTGGTAGAAGCCTGGAGAGTTGCATCACTATGTCAAAGAAAGCACTTTGGGTCAACAAGAAGATTCCCTTATCTTGAAACCTTGGAATGAAGGTACAGGTGTGCTGGCTGAGAGGAAAGGAAATACCATTCGAAAGCACTGGAAGGAAGGAGCGTTGTCTAAGAAGTGGTGGGATAGGGACCACACTGGATGGTGGGAAGGATCTGGGTAGGAGGGTATTTCCTAAACTAAAAAAGGGCCAAGGGCAAGGAAGTCACCTACAGCTCTATTTAGTGAAATGTGGGAAAATTAAATTAGGGTTAACAAATATCTGAGAAGGTTTGCATCTGTGACCTTGGGCAAATAGTTTCCTTCTCTGGGTTTCCATTTGTAAAATGTAGGAACAGAATGGAGGCTTCTTCCAGTACTAGCATGCCAGGATGGAAGGTAGAAGAAAAGGCCTTTGAAGCCAACATAATTGCTCCTCTGTCCAGAGAAATATAAACAACAATAACTCCAACAGCCTTCAGCTCTGCTTTTGAATGAGTTCTTTGCTTCTGCCTGAGAGGTAAAGTAGTTCATTCCTTGGGGAAAAGTTGAACGTGGAATGCTAGGCCATGCCCTTCTCACTTTTGTTTCATTATGTTATTCTGAATGATTATTAATACAAAGAACAGTCAATGTAAGTTAACAAGGCTTTACTGAGTATCACGTACCCAGGGCTGCAGTTGGTCCTCTAGGGTAGATGAAGAAAGAGTATGTGACATGTTCTGGGTCTTCAATTCCCTTAAAATCCCTTAACATAGGTTTGTATGCCCCATTTCAAAAGCCAAGCACAAAATGAGCAAAAATTAGGCTAATTGTTTAAGTAAATCTTACTTCTCTGTATTAACATAAGCAATTGAGTTTAATGAAATTTGCTAATTTTTATGCTCCTACTAATACATACTGCATATGTGTTATGTGTCTTTGCTGTGTATGTCTATGAGAAGCCTCACTTTGGCATTTATAGGGTGTGCATTGGCTTGATTCTAGTCAGATGCCTCTGGGTGAAACACAAATAAAAGTCAATCAAAAACTTTTGACGTTTCAGGTAAACACACGGTTATACATATTGAAGTCCCACTCAAGTGCAATCTCTATATGACATGAAAGCAAACTAAATGAATCATTTTGTGAAAACGACTCTAATTCCTGAGCATGCACATTGGTTAATATTTTTACATATCTCTGGAACGCCAATCCTGCTTCACATTAATTACCGGCAATGTACTATGATTCTTTGATGGGTACTTATTTTTTTGATACCAAGTAAATGGTCAATTACGTCACCTTTGTCAGACTCTTTTGTTTTCCTTTGAAGTTTTCTAAAACTAATCAATCAATTTGTTGTAAATGGCAATCACATCCAAAATATGTCTTGGATACAAAACAGAACTTTTCAAGAAGTAAAAATGATCCAAATGAGGTCTTTCAAATGCAAATTATCTTCGTGATAACCTGAAAGTACTTGTCTTAAATGTTCTGTATAAACATACTCCTGTGTACTTTCAATCACACGTGTGTAAACACATAAGGTTGAGATAAAACATGGTTTCCAGTTACATATTTCTAAGCACCAAGAATGATGCACCAAGCATTAAGATGCATTATTCTTACTTAACAACTAATACATTAGTATTATATGATATAGATATACTGTATACTATATATAATATACTATATTATCAATATATATACTATATATGTAATATATATAGATAATTACAGTATATATAATATACTATATTGCTATGTTTTTCTTCCAATACCACAAAGCACTATTTTTGGAACTTAGGTTTAGAATCAAGTTGATTATTAGACTCTTCAGTACATGAAATGTCAAAGCACTTTTATTCTGTTGCCCATATGATGAACACAGTAAGAGAAGAGAGGTAGGTATTTAGTGTGACCAACCATTCTAGTTTTCCCCAGGACTGAGGAGGCTTTTGAGACATAGCACTTGCCATGGGAATGGCCAAGGCAAATAAGAGACAAGTTGACCATCCTGCAGGTATTATAATTCCCACTTATAACTGGAGAAACAAAAGTACAGAGAAGCAAAATGCTTTGCCCAGTTTACTCAGGAAGTGACAAGCAGATGCAGGACTGAGTCCAACGTGTCCTAACAACAGCCAGTTCACAACCACACAGATCGGCACTACTTCTGCACCTTGCTGTCTTGTTGAACTTTAAGAAAACCCATGTCTTCTTTTACTTTTTCGTGTGCTACCACCATTCCGAAAGTGCTAGGTTGAATACCACGGACAGTACTGAATGGGGTCCTTTGTCTATGTTGCAAATTCCTCGGGAGGAACAACGTTGCCACTTTGTTTTAGAGAGAAGAATGAGAAGTTATAATTATCACAGCCCTCTAAAGCAGAGGAAGCACTAGGACAAGTTCTGTCTACCTACAGTTATCTGTTAAGACCACTAAGATCTCTCTAGTCTTGACTGGGCCAGATGTATAATTTCATGAAACAAACCAACCTAAATGAACCTCGGGAAAAGTGGCCAGGTAACCACCTTTTGAATCACTGTACGGTAACAGCTAACATTTACTGAAGGCTTACTATGTGTTGGATGCTATGCTTAGAGCTTTACATGGATTCATTCAATCAAGCCTCACAACGATAATTCCATGAAGTTGCAATGATTGCTCCCGTTTCACATGTAAGCAAAATGTGGCTGAGAGAGGTTAATTCGCCAAAGTCACACAGCTGATATGGGTTGGAACTTGGATTAAACCCCAAGGAGTTCGACTCCAAAACAAGTGCTTTCAGCCACCCAGTAAATCACTTTTAATAAAAACAGCCAGACAATGTCTAATCTGTTCAAACAGTGTTCTGACTTCCAATCACTGAGGCAGTTCACTAGGGTAGATCTAAAACTAGCTAGACTACAAATTGCTGTGAAGCCAAGCAGATATGTCTGCCTACCTGTTTAGGTCAAAAGGTATAAGGCTTTCTGGTCATAGATATTAAAGGATCTGAAGGGAGAGATTTTAATCTGTTGATTAATTTAGGAGTTTGTGCCCTGCCAAGCTGCTGTTATATCTCCAGTACCCCATTCCCCTCTCTGAAAAATGTAAATACATCCTGAGCTTCTATGAGAAATGATGAGGTAAAACAACAGTAAAGCACTAAGCAAACTGTAAAGTGCTTTAAAACAATTATTTCATATGTTAAGCAGCTTACAAACTAGCAATTTCTTCAAATGCCCTTGCAAAGAAAATGAGACACAGCTGCTGGGATGCTCTGCAAAGAGACGGAAATCCAGCTCTTTAAAATGTCCAAGGGGAAAACACACACTGTAAAATTATTCCAAAGATGAATTTTACAAGAAGGATGGAAGTGTCATCAAGTTTTTCCATGGTTAATTCTAAAAGAATGCCAGCATTTAAAAGATCAAAAAAGGCAGTTCTTCAACAGAAATCTGGGAAAATATTCTTTAACGACATTGCATAATATAAATAGGAATTAAACTCACCTGAGGAGCAGAAGTGAAGAAGCCAAGTTTATGAGTTCTTCTCAGTTTTGTCCAAAGTCAAGTCTGCTGGGAATAAAAAATATTAAGAGAACTTAAAGAAGGAAAAGAAAAAAAAAAGGAAAATCAAGAAGAATGAGTTGTCATGGAATGCTACGAAGCTTTGAGAGTGACTCAGCATTAGCCAAGTGGCAGCAACAATTAAATGAATTTGTTGAAAGAACCCTAATAAAACTCAGCATTCCCTGTAATCTCCTAACAAGATTGCACCACTAAAGAAAATGTTAAACCATGCATTTGGGGGGCTGTGGTTTAATGAAGTTGGTTGGGGGTGGGGGAACTCAGGGCTGAGTCACAGGCTTCTTAGAGGAAGAGCCACTGGGTCTCTGTCCTCTTGCCTGTTTCTCTCCCTCTCTCCAGGGATTTCAGTTTCTCTACAATTAGCCAAAAGAAGCAAGTGAACTGGCCACTGAAGGATGAGAAATTGTGATTCACTTGTAGCACAAATGATCAAATATATACACTGTATAAATAAGTCCTGAGATGGAGAGGGGGAAAGAACTTCTGCCACATCTTTTGCACCCACGAGAAGCATCAGTGCAGATGCTTGTTTCTATATGGAAGAGCACCTAGGCCATCCAAAATGGATGCTGAGCAGATTTTTTTTTTTTTTTAATCCTCTGGGGAAAAAGAAGATCACAGTTCCTCTTAGTAACTAATTTGTTAGTTACTTTTTCTAACCATTAAGCCCCATGCTACAACTACCCTAAATTTCCCTGTTCTAAACTGGCCTTGTTGGCTGTGGATGAACAAATTGTTTTTTCACTACTGAAAAATATAAATCCTTTACGTATTTGCACAGAGTTATTCTTATACTAAACTCAAAATGGAAACCCAGGCAGTTCTCCTCTCCCTTCCAGAATGAGAATTCTTCACCTCTCAATCCAAGTTACAGAAAGAAAGAAACATTTTGATAATCTGGCATCATTTTTTTCCTATTTTCATGGGGTCAGCTATAGACTAAGTGAAGCATTTACATGTCACATCTTTAAAACAAAAAACTGAAAGGGTTAAAAACTGGAGCTTTGACATTTCTATAATAAGCTTTCAAAATGCTTATATTGATTTATTTTTTGTTCTAGAATAGACTCAGGTACAAAATATATTTGAAAGTTGTTCTGCCAGCCAAACTGTTCTCCTTCATTTATAAATGAAGTTGCTCAGTGTCCAACAACTGAGTGCCACGAATGAATGGGGTATGATGTCCTGCAAAGTCTCCAAAGAGCTGCTACAGCTTAGTTTTCCCCTTGAGAGAAAAAAAGTGATTTTTCTAACTGATTTTTTCTGTTCTGAATAGAAAAAATAAATTAGATCCTTCCTTCCCTCCCTCCTTCCTTCCTTCTCTCCTTCCTTCCTTTCTTCCTTCTTCCTTTCTTCTCTTTCCTTTCTTTTTCTTTCTTCTTTCTCTTTTCATTCTCTCTCTCCTTCTTTCTTTCCCTCTTTTCTTTCTTTCTTTCTTTTTCTTTCTCTTTTCCTATTTCTGCATTCCTACAGGAAGAGAGAAGGAATATTGTGCTTTTCATCAACCAGAGCAAAAGTTATTTCAGTTTGAAACACAGCTCGTTTTTAAGGAAATTATACTGTTGTCTTCTGGAATGGGAAGAGAGCTTTTTCTCTCATGAGACAAAAAGTGAGATTTTCCTTCTGTCTTCAACCTTTATCAGTACAAAAGAGTAAACCATCTCTACACACATGTTCAGAAGCAAATCCCATGACTAATTGCAGAGTAAGCAAACTCCTTGATTCCGATCAAATCAGCAATGTGCAGTTGAATTTAGGTTGGATTTAGATGAATAAGTAAGTAACAGTATAGTGAAAAGAAGCCTGGGGACTTAAAAACTGAATCCCATAGTGACCTTGGTGAGAATTTTGCTCTTTTATGGACACCTTAGTAGATGAATTCAGTCTTTTAATTTACTTACCAAATTGCGGAAAGCTCTCCCATTGTAGCATTTAATCATTTCCCCCCAACTCAATTTCCTCATTCATACAATTGGATTAATACAACTTACTGTGCAGGGCTGTAAGGACAAAATACAATGTGCATCTAACATGCTTACTACAGTACCTGGCACGTAAAAGCTGGATGAATTGTTTCTTTCAATTCATTCTTTAAATTTGTTCTCGATGAAGTGATGCTGGCTCTAGTAACCTTCTGTTATTCCCGCCCACAACACACACATACGAACCACACACACACACACACACACACACACAGCAGCTAACTAAGAACAGTCCCCTAATTTTGTCAATGTTATGGAATCTTTCTTAAGGAACCCCATCACCACCTTGTACCTACTACAGTAACGTATTAGTCATTTACCATGGGCCATGCACTGCACTAAGTTACCTTACACGGGCAATATCATTTCATCTCCCCTACAACCCTGTGAGTTCAAAGGATGGTTATTCCCCTTTTGCTTCAAACTCACTTGATCACTAATATGAAAGAATCTTAACAAGTATTTTTAAAACATCTGTCATATATTTTATTATGACAATCAACTGAATATTTGTGGCCCTCCAATATTTATATGTTGAAATCCTAACCCCCAATGTGATGGTATTAGGAGGCGGGGTTTTTGGGGTAAAAAATCAGGTCATGGGGGTGGAGCCTTTATGAACGGCATTAGTGCCCTTATAAAAGGGACCCCAGAATGCTCTCTTTCCACCATGTGAGGGCACAGCAAAACTGGCAGTGTAACTCAGGAGAGGAACCTACACGACCACGCAGGTACTCTGGTATTGAACCTACAGACTCCACAACTGTCAGAAATAAGTTTATGTTGTTTATAAGCCACCCTGTTTATAGCAGCCCAAACTAAGATCATTACAATTGCAAAATGTTTATGCAATACCTTGTTATGTTTTGTAAATTTTGTTCAAGCAAAGCACTAAAACACAGTTTCTAACCTCCAAAAAGTGACTTTTTATATACCAGAGAAGAAACAGAATTTACATTAAAGGGTCCACCATGTCTTTTCAAAAAATCATACAGGTGCTTCCTATCTCTAATTTAAGTTTAAGTACTTCTTATAAATAAGAATAGTGGAATCTCCTGTTTATATCTATTTAAGAATTGCAGCCAATATCTACAATGTACCAAGTTGACAACACTGGCAAGATGACAGGGGCCAGTCATCTTGTTATAATGAAGAGCAAGAGATGGTTAAAGATTTTTTCCTGGAAATTAACCTATCCACATATAACTTCTTAAAAAGTTACAATTTGGCACATTTACTTAGCAAATAGAAAAATTTATATATAAATATCCCTATTTTTGAATCAATCTGAAGGTTAATGAAGCAATGAATAATGCCTATGCTTAATAAAGAGATATTTACCAGGAAAAGAAGTGTCCCTAGTTGAGAAGACATTAGATCCCTATTCTAAAATCTCAATTGGTTCATGCAGAAAAACTCCTACAATAGAACATTTATGGCATACTTTCTGTATTATGTTTGGCTGTGTTTTATTTTTGAATAAATATTTATAGAGCCATATACCTGAGCTTTATTTTCTTTTGAACAATTTTTGAGATTTTATGAGATAATGTTTCCTACTTCATGGAGAAACTAAGTGATAAAAAGGAATTTTACAGAGGGTCTCACCGCTATCTTTACCCTCTCTCAAGCAGCATTACTACCCTAAACATGCCTGTCACTACGGATGACAATATCATATCTTCTCTTTCAAGCCAAATCTTCCACTTGGGCATTAGATTATGACTATTTGCTGACCCAACAAAATTGCTTAAGGAATTCTTGCTATCTTTCCTAAAACATTAATATCTCTCTCTCTACTGGATCGTTTCCATCAGCACACAACCATATTGTAATTTCTTCCAACCGAAAACAGCAGCAATAACAAACCCCTTAGGTTGACCTCATTTTCCCCATGTGTCTTCATCCAATTTCTTTGCTTCCTTTCTCAGCAACCTCAAGAGTTGGATTTCCTCACTGTTTCCTATTCCTCTCCTGCCATTCCCTATTAAGCTACTTAAACCAGGCTTTGACTGTCACCATTCCACCAAATTATGTTCTTGTTCAAGTCACCAGTGACGCTCCCTTGGGAAATTCAATGAGCGACTTTCAGTATTTATCATACTGGATCTATCAGCGGCATTTGACACCACTTCTCACTCCCCTCTACTTGATGTACTTCATTCTCTCCCTTTTTGGAACACTACATCCACCTAGTTTTTCTTCTACCTTGATAGCCACACCTCAGTCTCTCCCGGATGGTTTCTTCTTTTTTTCTAGACCTCATAATTCTGAAGACCCCCAGAGCTGAGTCCTCGTCTTCTCTATTTATACCCACTCACTTGATAACATCACTCAGCCTCACAGTTTTTAATCCCAAAATGTTGGTGACTCCCAGGTCTCCCTCTTTAGCCAGGGAAAAGCTGGCATTCTGATTAGCTCCAAATATACATGATCAACAACCGACTTGACATCTATAATTAGGTGTCTAATAGTCATTTCAATATCAGTATGTCCAAAACCAAAATCCCAATGTTCCTCACAAACCTGCTCTTCCTACAGCCATCTCAATCAATAGCACCTCAATCCATAGCAATTTTATATTTTTAGTTGCTCAAGCCAAAACTTTGCTTTCTTTTCAACTCATACTCTGTGTTCAATCTATCATAAAATCTTGTTGGATTTTGCTTTCGAAATATAGCCCTATGCAGACCACTTCTCATAACCTCTACTGACCAACCCATGGCCTAGGCCACAGCATCTTTTCTGGGGGTTACTGTCACAGCCTCCTAATTAGTCTATGTGCTTCTATCCTAGCCCTGCTCGTCTAGCCTATATATAATATCCTGAAAGACCCTTGTTAAACAGCCAGCTCTTCCTCAGCAACTTAAAGTAACACCCATTTCACTCAGATTAATGCCAAAGTTCTCTATCGGTAATCTACAAAGCCTTACACAGCCTCACCCTTGCCTTTCTGTTATCTCTCTGACCTATTACACATTCCCTCTGTCTCTTTGCATCAGCCACACTGGCCTCTTTGCTGTTCATTAAATGTGCCAGGCAGTCTCCTGCCGTTGGGCCTTTGCTCAGGCTGTTCTCACTGCCTGTGACACTCTTTCCCAGATATATACTTATAGTCTCACCTGCCTCAGATCTTTGCTCAATTGATACCCTATTTAAAATTGCAACTGTGCACATAGTTCTCCTCTGCCAGCACACTCCTACCTTGAACCTAATTACTCTGCTTTAATTTCCTCTGTTCCATAGCATTTACTATTAAGAATATAATATATTGGCTGATGTACTATTTACTGTCTACCTCCCTGTGCTAGAATGTATGTTCTGCAAGGACAGGGATTGGTGTCTGTCTTGGTTATGTCTTTTTTTTTAATTCCCTAGAATAGGCCGGCATGGTGGCTCATGCCTGTAATCCCAGCACTTTGGGAGGCCGAGGCGGGTGGATCACGAGATCAAGAGATCGAGACCATCCTGATCAACATGGTGAAACCCCGTCTCTACTAAAAATACAAAAATTAGCTGGGCATGGTGGTGTGTGCCTGTAATCCCAGCTACTCAGGAGGCTGAAGCAGGAGAATTGCCTGAACCTAGGAGGCGGAGGTTGCGGTGAGCCAAGATCGCGCCATTGCACTCCAGCCTGGGTAACAAGAGCGAAACTCCATCTCAAGAAAAAAAAAAAAAGTCCCTAGAATAGTGCTTGGCATAGGAAGTCACTCAATGGGTGCTGAACTAAATTGAATAAAATATGCTTCCAGAAAAAGAGCCAGAATTGATAATATTGTACCTATATGAAATGAGAACTTGCTTAAAAGAACTTGATAGAGAATTATTGCCTAGTGTCTAATTAGATCACAAAGCAAGAGGGTAGAATACCTGAATACATGGCCTGCTTGTTGGAAAAGAGAGGACAGCCTGGAATGCCACCTGAGAGAAAATGAAACATATCTTCTCTCTCTTTTTTTAAAGATTCTGGCAATATATTTTAGGATGACTCCAGAAGGAGCTTGGAACAGACCACAATAACGTATCCTACAAAGTCATGAAGGAGCTGAGCTGAAAACATAACCTTAAAAAAAACTCTGTCACTCTTTATCTAGGGTTCATTGTAGTTGTATACAGACACTCTGACCCATAGATGTCTGCCTGTGGCTTGTGCTATTGATGGCTTATCTAAGTCCTATTTCATTAAATTGGTCTCAGAAAAGGGCAGCAGTAACCGTGGGATGTTTATTTTTACCAGCCTTGGCAATCTTAAGGAAAATCAAGTAGCACAGTGTTCTCAATGTGTAGACCCTGTCCTGTGGCGTTAGCACCACCTAGAAACTTGTGACAATTGCAAAATCTTGGGATCCACCCCACCTCAAATTAGAATTTACAAAATCAGAAATCTTAATGGCAGTACCCAGCCATCTGTGATTTAATAAGTCCTTCAGATAATTTTGATGCTCACTCGGGTTTGAGAGCCATTGAGGAAGCAGAACTGTTCAGTTACAAGTTTACAATGACTTTCTTAGCAAGGCAGTCTTAGAATACAGACTTCCTCCACTGATAAATGCAACAAATTTGCTCAGTTATCCGGCACCCAACAATGACTCAATGGACTTCTCTTTTGCACTAACTTTTGTGAAATACTCTTTCTGGGCATTCTGCCTCAAATTAACGAGAAAGTGGTATACTGCTCACATATTCCAGAAGCCTGACTTAACTGATTTCATAATGCTCTGAGCTGCTTGGCTCCAGATTCTTCCTGTTAAGATTTATGAATCCAGATTGTAACAGCATTTCTCAACACATCTTCAAGTTGATGATTTCGTTGCAATGGTAAAGTTGACCATAATGGAAGGGGAAGTAAAGGAAAAAGAAAACAGATATTGAGGGTTGTGGGAATTTGTCAAAAATGACTTACTAACTAAAAATATTAATCCAAAAGTAGGTCACCAAGTGCCCCTTTGCTTTGATTATTCATATAAAACCCATTAGTCTGTAAATTATTCACTTAAAAACTAGAACTTCATCTGATCTGTGAAGTCTAAAACAAATATTCCTTAAGGCCAAATTTCCTAGGACTCTCGAATTCCCATTAAAGGTAGACAGAGATCCCATTTAAACGATGACATAATAGAAACTCAGAGATTTAGCTAAGGTCACATCATGATGGACAAAGTCACAACTAAGGGACAGATTTCTTGAATGTTCTTATACATGTCAATTCAATGCAGTTAATATGCATTAAGTCCCTGCTCTGTGCCAGACCCTGGATTAGGGGATGGGAGATGGGGATATATATATATATTTCTTTTCTTTTTTTTTTTAGACAGAGTCTCACTCTGCCTCCCAGGCTGGAGTGCAGTGGCGCAATCTTGGCTCACTGCAATCCCCACCTCTGGGTTCAAGTGATTCTCCTGCCTCAGCCTCTGAAGTAGCCAGGATTGCAGGCATGTGCCACCATGCTCAGCTAACTTTTGCATTTTTTTTCTTTTTTTTGAATAGAGATGGGGTTTCACCATGTTGGTTGGGCTGGTCTTGAACTTCTGACCTCAAGCAATCTACTCACCTTGGCCTCCCAAAGTGCTGGGATTATAGGCATAAGCCACAGTGCTCAGCATATTTCTGACATAGTGTCTGCCTTTAAGGAGTTCAATGCAAGAAACCCTATCTCCCTGATTATTTAATATCTTCCTTTGGCTGACTTCAAACTCCAGTGAAGCAATGAAAGGAATAGTAACAATTGTTTATTTTTACATTGAAGAAATCATGTAACAGAAAAAATTTCAGCAGGAAGAGAATCAAGGTCCTCACACTGACCACGTACTATTTAATCAAGGCACCAAGATGTCCTACATCTTGGTGATGAAGAGATTAAAAGTGCCCTATTGTGGGCCATTAATATTTCATACCAGAACACAATGTAGAGATACTATGTGAGAAAATGATGAGTTTGTAGAAAAGGCAGTGAGAATTGGAGTTCAAGGTCAGAGAAGAATAAAGGCTAAGTATGAACAAGTAACATTTTACAATTTAAAAATAACATGATGTTCAGCTATATTCCCAAAACAAAGGCATAGTAGAACTGGTCTGCACTCCTGCTATTCCCTTCATTATATGAGTACAAGGTCAAGTTTGGGAGGTCTACATTTTTCAAAACACTAACACTACTGCTTTAGCAAATGTTCAGGTTAAGGCAATAAACTTGTGTGGCTGAGAACTGGAGGCCCAGTTCTGGTCTCCACTCTAATACTTACTGACTTTATAACAAAAGGTAAGATTGTTTTGGGTGTGGAAAAGTTGAAAAATAAGACAACTGCAGACAGGATTTTATAAGAAAATTAAAGTTTTCCATAAAGCATTAAAAGCTACAGAAATATAAGGTCATATTTATTTAGTCACCATTTTAAACATCTGTAATATACTCTGAGTGGCAACACGTCCTGGGGATACCCAAATGCATATGCTGTCATCACTTAGCATCCATGGAGAACTGGTTCCAGGATCCCCTGCAAATACCAAAATCTGCAGATGCTCAAGTCCTTTATACAAAATGGTGTAGTATTTGCATATAACCTAGGCACACCCTCCTTTATATTTTAAATCCTCTCTAGATTACATATGATGTCTAATAAAATGTAAATGCTATGTGAATAGTTGTTATGTTATATTGTTTAGGGAATGACAAGAAAATAATCTGTGTTCGGTACAGACACAACCATCCTTTCTTTTTACCAAATGTTTTTGATCCAGAGTTGGTTGAATCCCTAGATGTGAAACCCATGAATATGAAGGGCCAATGGTAACAAAGTGTTGGTATTTTTTATTCTGTTACTAGAATAGCTGGGAAACATCCTTAGAACAGTAGCCCAAAGTGACTTGAAGTGTAAAAAACCAAAAAAAAAAAAAAAAAAAGGATTTAAGAGAGCTTTTTGAGCAAGTTTATGTTACTTGATTGGAAAAAAAAATTTAAATGGATATAAGAGAGCTCTTTAAGCAAGTTCAGATTGCTTGATTGGAAAAATAAAAAGAAATAGGGAAGGTAGCCTCTAATAACTTAAACAAATTTACAGTATCATTTTAAGAAGAGCTTAGGTCAGCCAGTATGAAAGCAAAGAAAAAGAAAAGTTAGCCTCATGTCATAGCAAAAGTAGGAAAAAGAAAGATTTAGAAAGAGATTAGGGAGACTTTGATTTTTCTGGAACACTAGAGCTAGTTATTGGGGGAAAAAAAAACACCGTAGAGTTGTTCTGCTGAAAACATTTGGGAAGTTATTAGCTAATTCTCTTTCTCAATGAGTTTAAAGATATGACTAAAAGTGGGTGCTAGAATAGTCATTTTATTGAAGCTCCACTTCTAGAACTCTGAATGGCAATGAGGTGGATTAAAAGTCTGTTCTCTTCTCCCTCCCTTATTTGGCTGGCATGTCTAATTCCAAATTGGAGACTCATAGACATTGCTACGAAATGTATCATAGATCATGACTCACTATGAAAAGGACAAGTGTGAAAGTTGCCTTACCAGTAAAAAATCCTCTGCCTGCCCTCTTTCTTCCTGGGACAAGACTTCAGTTCTTTCTCTGTGATTCATATCCTGAGGAAATCAACATGATACAAAATGGCTGTGTTCAATTAAAAAATGTCTCCAACCCACACTTTAAAAATGTAAGCTCTTTTCAATCCAGATATGTATTATCTCCCTGAGAAAGTCTTTTCCTTCAGAAGAATTTGGTGCCATGTGAGATAGGTAAAACAGGCAGAATGCCATTTCTGCACTGAAAGTTATGCATTTAGCCAACATAATCTGCGAAGTGCACCTGCCGTGGCAATGGATTTAAAAAGATGGAAATTAGTAGGAGAAAGAACTATGGTTTAATGGAGCCCACCAGCATCAGGTGGGTGTCTTCAATAGTAACATTTATTCTGGGTGTCTTCAATAGTAATATTTAACATTAATTGAATGGTTCCTAGATATCAGGTACCATTCTAAGTTTTCCTTGCATATTATTTCATTTAATCCAAACAAGTTCATGAGATATATCCTATGATGGATCCTACTCACAGATGAGGAAAATGAGACTCATCAGAGGTTAACCAATTTGTTCAAGATGAGGTAGCAAGTAGCAGAGATGGGATTCAAACCAGAACTGTGACATCAGAACTTAAACTTCTAACCATCCCTCATCTAGTCTTTTAGGACAAAGTAGATACAAGATCCCCATTGTGTATATGAGAAAATGGAAACTCAGAGAAGATAAGAAACTTGACTAAGAGCACAACGATTACTGATGGTTTTGGCCTGGGATGTGAGCTCGGGTCGAGAGGACTCCAACATTCACTTTCCAGTCATATCGATAGAAAACCTAGGAGATGAGCAGATATCCTCACATTCACTCCATGTAAATTATTTTTAACTCAAATAAGCAAATGCTTACTCTGTATAAAACTCTGTGTATGTCTTACTACACGTAAGACTTTGAAGATAGTAGGAAAGAATGAAATATATTGTACCTGCCTCTGATGAATTTTAAATTCTAGTTGACAGAGAAAACACACAGATGAATAAACCAAGATCAGTTGCAAAGTATTGTGACACCATAGGTAAAATAACATCCTATGCATTAAATAGCTTCAGAAGAAATGCTGGGAGAAGCAATGATTAGAGAAAAAATTTGATCAAGAAAAGCTTCCTAGAAGAGGTATAACATGATATGTATGATGAATAGAGTCGATCCCATTGCCTGACTCCCTATTTTGTGGGTAGAAAAAAAAAATACTTTAGAGAACCTCTGAAGAGAAAATATGATCTTAGTATCTATGAGAAAGGTCTTATATGGCTAACAATTACAGAGCCATGGAAAGGTTAAAGGAGAGGGAAAGATTTCTCTGTGATTATAGTTAAAACTACTAGTGATTACTCTTTCCCTTGGCTAATAGGTTTCCGTAGGGTCCCATCAAATACAAATGATAATAGTTATAAATCAAATCTATACTCATTCTTTATGAAAAAAAGGCAAACAGGCAGAGGAGAGGGAGAGGAAAAGTCAATTTCAACATTTTCAAGGGATTTTCCATGAGATCTAGCCAGTCTAATAGAAAAGAATTTTTTTTTCTGAATTAATTTTAGAAATAGAGATTTTCTAGAGGAATGAACTCAAAGGCTGATTGCTTATTTCACCTCCCACCTCCCCAGCAAAACCCCAATTTAGTAAAGAATGGACTATTAAAAAGAACCCTTGGATGATAAGCATGTATTTCCTATTTCTAAGATTTATCTAAGCTATGTTCAACTTTTTTCAGTCTAAGGCATGGACTTCAGCCTTCAATAGGACTATTTACTGAGACTCCTCTAAGAACATTATCTTATCTTCTTATTACCTAGAAGCAAGAAGTATTCAAGGTGTTAATGAATATTACTAAATAAAATAGTTCTAAATTCAAATAACTTTAGAAAAGCTGAATTCAAATTTTTTTTTTTGCTTTATTGTATTATTTTTATTTTACAGCCTTATATATGCTCATGTACATTTTATAGGTCCAGTGGAGACATATTCAGGATTTCTTAGACTTGTTTGACCTTAGGATATCTCCGTATTTTGTGGAACTTATACTGATATCTCATAGACTTCATATTCCAAGAAAAGAGTCATGCTCTCTTTCCTTACATGAGTTTTAGAAAGGCAGCTCTTAGAACAGTTAGGTCCAGGTGGAAGGAGTAATGGGTGGAGAAAGAGAACTACCAAGTGGCCATAACTTCGAGCCCATAGCTGGGAGTGACGGGCCTCCACTTTTTTTTTTTTTTGAGACGGAGCTTCACTCCCGTTACCCAGGCTGGAGTGCAATGGCATGATCTCGGCTCACCACAACCTCCGCCTCCTGGGTTCAGGCAGTTCTCCTGCCTCAGCCTCCTGAGTAGCTGGGATTACAGGCACGCGCCACCATGCCCAGCTAATTTTTTGTATTTTTAGTACAGACGGGGTTTCACCATGTTGACCAGGATGGTCTCGATCTCTTGACCTTGTGATCCACCCGCCTCAGCCTCCCAAAGTGCTGGGATTACAGGTGTGAGCCACTGCGCCCGGCCTGGGCCTCCAATTTTAGGTTCCTTGAATTCATCATTCAGTGAGAGTGAGTGACAAATCTCTAAATTTTTTTTTTATGCTTTTCATGGCCACATTTACAGCCACATGGAAAAGCACTGGAGTCACTCTCCTCTGTAATGATCAGCTCAGTGTTGGTATCAGTGGGACGAGGGAGACCAAGCAGGGGTTTCTTCCCACAAGATAGCCAAGGGCTGTCTAGAATTGATGGACCACATGGAGTGAAGGATCATTTACACTGCATGCCTGAACACACTGTGTCCGCTACATTTTAGTGTTTCACCCATAGTCTTTGAAAAGGATTCAGAAGAGGTCAGATTTCTTTAGTGGGTCATTCTGTATCTGTTGGATGTTCCTTGCCCTTTCCCGTATCTGACCAGGGTATAAGACTAATGAAATCAAACTTCTCTAAACATCACTTGCATGAGTGTGATTTTAAAATGCTGCCATGACTTGCGGCCATTTAAAGAGGAGCAAATGGAGGCAGTGAAGAGAAAGTTGCACCTCTTAGAGTTCTATTTTGAGACTGAAATCCTCACGCAAAACTGTCTGCATGAATGTAGTTTGCTTAGTAGAGAGATTACCTCAAAATTAGCACACCCGAACTACTTCATTGCCAGCACATCACATGTACAGCTGCATCAGATGGCCTACCCCAAAGGGCTGTTTTTCTGCCCTATCCTAAGAGTCAAAAATATATAAAAAGACACAGTCAGCTCATTAACACATTTGCATTTTGTAGTAGCATTAACCAAGATTTTTATCCAGTAAGTAAAATTAACATATTTCTTCCTGTAAATATTGTATCATTGCATGTAAATATACTTATACATCTTTTTGTATCATCCAAATATCCTTATCAATGAAGAATCCTCTATTTTACAGATAAACAGTTTTAATGAACAACTTATGTTTGTATAGTGCTTTACAGTTTACAAGTCTTATTATATCCTCAATAAAACTCTGAGAGTTGAATCTTAGTGTCTTCATTTCATGAGGTAGAAATTAAAGATAATATCACCAGGCTAATACCTGACAGAGCAGGATTGAAACCTGGACTTTTTGATCTCGGATTTAACCCTGTCATTTCTCATGAAGTGAGTCAGAGCCCACACTTTCTGAGAGATTTCCAGAATAAGTCCATGGTGATCCATTCTGTACTCATAGTTCATGGTACTGCAAAATTAGTACTTGATTGGAAACTGTCTTATTTTCCCCGTGTCTCTGTCCTATCTATCACACCCAAACATCAGCCTTTCATTACGTTGCTCTTTGGGGCATCCCCAGCTTTCTCATGTGCTGCTTTTACGACAGAGAACGTTCTCTCCATTCAGAGCCCACACAACCACGCTCAACCCTATTCAACAGGACTCAGGCCAGGAGCGATACCTTTCCCTGCTTGGAAGCTCTTGCTGGTGTTCTCATCGACCATCCTTGCTTCAGGAAGGATAGTCTCCTGTGTGCTCCCATAGTATCCAGTGCTGACATCTATAATGGATTCCTCCCACTCTCTTGCACTGCCAGTGTCTATTTATCATACATTTCCCACATGACCTTCACCACCTTGGTAACAGGACACCTAAGTTACTTCTCTTTGAATCCTCAGAACCTACCACCTGTAGGCTGTTAATAACTGTTAAATAAGTAATTGAATAAATAAAGTAACATAAAACCAATTAAGGCAGTTAGTTAGTACCTTTGAGGAGTTCCTGGACTCATGGGAAGAAAAATCGGTAAAGAGACCAGGACAAGCAACACAGCAAGGTGTACTTCCCCAGTACAGATGGGTTCAGGTGCCTTGGGGGCATACACAAGAAGGGATTGTGCTGCCCTGCCAGTCAGGCCTCAGAGAAAGCGAAGTTGAACAGAGTCTTGAAAGGAGAGTAGAAAGTCACCAGCGTTTGTGGAGCTGAGAGAAGCAGGGTCGGAGTAGGTGGCAGGAAGAGAAGGCAGGCTTTAGCAAGGCTCTATTTTATCTTGACTGTGTAACAACCTTTTCTCTGGGGGAGCTGACCTTCTCTGCATCCAACCTTGGGGTTCTATAGCAGCTGCCAGTCACGTTATCTTGTTTTCCTGGCTCAGAGGACTTCCCAGAGGTTTTGCAACATTTTCCCAGCCTCATGGAGGAAGGTCTAAAAGAATAAAGCTGATCCAGAGAGAGAAGCTTAGGGCAAAGTGGGAGGAAATGCTTGGGTCCCTGATTCTAGTAATTTCTGGAGCCTGGTGTACCCCAGCCCTTTCCAGAGTTTGGTTTGTTACCTAAGTAAATCAAGCTGGGTTTCTGTCACTTGCAAACACTAAAGTACTGAACAACACTAAAACCTTAAAAATAGCTGGGGCCGAGCACGGTGGCTCAAGCCTGTAATCCCAGCACTTTGGGAGGCCGAGGCGGGTGGATCACAAGGTCAGGAGATCGAGACCATCCTGGTCAACATGGTGAAACCCCGTCTCTACTAAAAAATATACAAAAAATTAGCTGGGCATGGTGGCACGTGCCTGTAATCCCAGCTACTCAGGAGGCTGAGGCAGGAGAATTGCCTGAACCCAGGAGGCGGAGGTTGCCATGAGCCGAGATCGCGCCATTGCACTCCAGCCTGGGTAACAAGCGCGAAACTCTGTCTCAAAAAAAAAATAGCTGGGCGCAGTGGCTCACACCTATAATCCCAGAATATTGGGAGGCCAAGGCAGGTGGATCACTTGAGGTCAGGAGTTCGAGAGCAGCCTGACCAACACGGTGAAACCCTGTCCCTGTTAAAATTACAAAACTTAGCTGAGTGTGGCAGCATGCACCTATAGCCCCAGGTACTCAAGTGGCTGAGGCATGAGAATCACTTAAACCCTGATGGCAGAGGTTGCAGTGAACCAAGATCGTGCCACTACACTCCAGCCTGGGCCACAGAGCAAGACTTGGTCTCAAAAAAAAAAAAAAAAAACCTTAAAAATATTTTCTGTAGGCTGAGCATGGGGGCACACACCACTTTAGAAGGAGGCAGGAGGATCACTTGAGCTCAGGAGTTCAAGACTATCCTTAGCAACATAGTGAAACCCTGTCTCTGCAAAAAATAAAACAATTAGCTGTGTGTGATGACACATGCCTGTAGTCCCAGCTACTCGGGAGGCTGAGGTGGGAGGATCTCTTGGGCCCATGAGTTTGAGGCTGCAGTTAGCTATGATCTTGCACCACTATACTCCAGCCTGGGTGACAGAGTGAGATCCTGTCTCTAAGTAAGAATAACAATGAATCTCCACTATAGCATGCACATAGAGAGAGGCGCAAAGTATCTACTCAAGATGTTGTTTCTCAAATGTACCTTTTCCCATCATCTGTTCAATCCTTTCATTTAAAGATGGAGACAAGGCTGAGATGGGTGGATCACAAGGTCAAGATATCGAGACCATCCTGGTGAACATGGTGAAACCCTGTCTCTACTAAAAATACAAAAATTAGCTGGGCACTGTGGCGCGTGCCTGTAGTCCTAGCTACTCAGGAGGCTGAGGCAGGAGAATTGCCTGAACCCAGGAGGCGGAGGTTGCGGTGAGCCGAGATCGGCCATTACACTCCAGCCTGAGTAACAAAAGCGAAACTCCGTCTCAAAAAAATAAAAATAAAAAAAAAAAATGATGGAGACAAAGACTTAAGTATCTTTTTCAAAGCTACCCATCCTACTCATAACAGATTTTATGCCAGAGCCTGAACTTTCTTCCCACAACAGTGCTCTATCCACCAAACACTGTTTCCTTTGCTTTTTCCTGGCTAATTAGCCTCAAGGTAACAGGCAATCATGGGATTCATATATGATGAAAACAATCAAAATGAACAAAGAATTCATGATATGACTACACAGTAATGGAATTATTGGTTTTTATTCATTCAACAAATAGTCCGCACATGCATCTGCCTCTGTGGTAGGTGGGTATTTGAGGACACACAAGACATGTTCCTTGACGTCAAGTAAGTTCACCAAGTGGAGTGAGGAACTGTACAACTAACCAGAGCTTCATATACCCTCAAATCAGAAATCTGGGAAAATATATACCTATTTTTTCAATTGCTGCTAAGTCCCTTTGAACCAGTTATAAGGCAAACAAAAATGTCAGCTTACAATTTTATAACTGCACTTAAATTCTTTTTTTTTTAATTATTATTTTTTTAGATGGAGTCTTGCTCTGTCGCCCAGGCTGGAGTACAGTGGTGTGATCTCAGCTCACTGCTACTGGTTCAAGCAATTCTTCTGCCTCAGCCTCCTGAGTAGCTGGGGCTACAGGCATGTGCCACCATGCCCGGCTATTTTTTGTATTTTTAGCTGAGATAGGGTTTCACCATGTTGGTCAGACTGGTCTAGAACTCCTGACCTTGTGATCCACCCACCTTGGTCTCCCAAAGTACTGGGATTACAGGCATGAGCCACTGCACCCCACCTTAAATTCATTTTTATTCAAAAACAGTATCATCCAGCTGGACCAACTGAATATGGCACTTGGGTTTTTTTTTGAAAGCACAAAATAGCTTCAAAAGACAATGAATTTCTTCCACTAAGTATATTAAAAGGATATGCTATAAATTCTGAGGTCTGCTATGAAACAGGAGGTTCAAAGATGTTTTGCCCAAGGCTAGGCAGTGTCACTGTCCTGAAAGGAACTATACTATTCTAGATGAGTATGTTTGTATGCATTTGTTAAAATAATGAATTCCAGAATTTATATTAAATTTCCAGACAGACCTAGAGGCAGATGCCAGGATCACCTTATGTCACCTTGAGTCTCTTCCAGCTCTCTGATTCTACAATTGCTTATACTGGATTTCTTCAACCCTGTGATGGGCTGAAGAGCTATTTCTGTCCTAGTTCTTTGCTTTATATAGGTCAAATCCCATTCCAATGAGTACCATAACAATAACCACCTCATGGCCTGGTTATTTTAGACAACCTGATAAAATGAGAACCAAGTACGACCTCCAAACAGAAGTTGGCTGTTACAGAATTTGACCTGAATATGACTTAAGCAAGGAGGTGGCCAGTGTCTTAGGTTTTTATTTTCATGGCACTGGGCCACTGCAAAACAGTCAGATTGAAGGTATCAAGGCTCTATCAGTGAATCCAAACAACTGTACTCACAGTCCCTAGTCAGTGACTCCATGTGCCTGACACTTACTGCAAAATCAGAATGTCAGGGGACTGAATGCTCTGAATTTCCATGTAAAAATGGTCTCCAACTTACGTCTGTCCACTATACCCAAAGAGTCTCAGGGCAATTTGCCCATCTTAATTTGGGGCTATTAATAAGCCTTCTTTCCATATTAGGCATCCCAAATCTGAGGTTTCTTTCTCCAGTCTCTCTCAGGGAGCTAGATTCATTCTTCTTTTAGCATACATTGTTCTTGCTTGAAACAACGTGCTAGTTGCTGCTCTCTGAAACGTACCTTTACAAGAGGGTAAAGACCTTGAGGGTACATATTTGTTTGGTTGACTCCCAGCTATGCTTAATATCTGGGTCCTCTCATTAAAATTTAAGTTCCACAAAAGTATGAAATCTCATGTATAAAACAGCGCCTGGCACATAGTAAGTGCTTGCTCAATAATTATTTGTTGGAATAATGAATGAATAATGAGGAATCGTTATTCTTTAAGACCCAATTCCAATGCCACCTGTCCACTCCCAAAGCAGCTATGTGTCTCTCCTCTGATCCTTTAGCACTGTTTGCATTTCCCTATAATAATACTTACAGGATACTCTCTTTGTTGTGTATATCTGTTTTCCCAATTAAGCTGGGGAATATTTTATGGCAGGAACTATGTTTTTTAATGCCACATTCTTTGTATCTAAAACAATAGAAGTTCAATAAATGCTTACTACTTGAATGGTTGAAAGAATGAATAAATATGTTTCTCTTGTCATGATGAATGCTAAAGATTTTTGATATAACCTTATACCTCAAACTTTGCCTGGACTCAAGAGCTTTCCATGGATCAAACTGAAGAAGCCATGAGTCACTGGGCTTGGAGGGGAGGGCTGTTTGTTTGTAGAGGATTTGCTTCCCGACCTCAATGAATCACATGTATAATCACCCAAACTGCATCCTGTCTGGGGAAGTAACCAAAACCCCTATTTCTGGCCCCAATGGCTTTTGGTTTCATGAGTAAATGCCACTGGCATGTCATTAAATACATGCCCTCGGAAAGTCCTCAGCCAGTGCTGTAACCTACAATAGTCAGGGTCGTGACAGAGAGGCAGTGTTGCAATTAGAGAGCAAGGTGGAGGAGTACCTTTTTACCTCTTTCTGGTGACCTGCCTCCAACTTCTTATCCAATATCTGTCACAGTACTCCCAGGCACAGGTGTGACCATGTAATTCTCCTGCACATAAAAAATCAATGGCTCTCGCTATCTTCAGAATAAAGACCAAACTTCTTAACTTACAATCCAAGGCCCTCCAGAATCTGGTTTCATCCTCTTTTACCTCTCTCATATTCTTCTATTCCCATATAACCGTATGTTGCACAAGCACCAAACAATTTTCTGAACACATCTAATCCCTACACTTTGCTCTTATGCTTTCGTTCCCTCAGTTGCCTCCGAGAATGCCACGCCCTCCCATTTTCAAATGTCCAATACCTGTGTATTCTTCAAGTCTCACAAAATGCTACTTCCTCCATAATATCCTCTGTGATTGTCTAAGGAAGAATGACTTCTCCATTAAGAATCTACATACTTAAGATTTTATCTGTACTCCCATCCCATTGTTTATTCTAACAACACGTACGCACATTTGTTTCTCTAATCAATTTTCTTAGTCACTGTGATACTCTAGCTCCTAGCAGTGCCTGCACAGTGGACACTCAAAATAAAGATTGGTTGAATGAAACATCGAATTAGTTCAATTGTTTAAATCTTTATCTTTGGCTTGGAATCTTCTGAAAAGATTCAATGTAAAAATTTCTTATTCTTATTTGTTTCATTTCATCCCTCACCCTTTTCCAAGAAAACACAAGATTAAGAAAAGCTTTGGTCACAGCAAACAATTGTTGTTTTATATCTATGCATCTTAAAAGCACAGTTTTCATTCCAGGCTTTCTTCCTCCTGATATCTAGAACTTTAAGGCCTATTTTGCTAATAGACGTTCTAAGCTCAGAGGGGAAAATATAATTTTGATATTAACTTGAATAAAAAAGAAATATAACTAAGAAAGCATTTACTGTTTCAAAATGCAAACTTTTTAAAAAGGTATTCCAAAAGAAAGACTTTTCTGTTATCTGCTGTTTTGGAATATTCATGCCACAGTGCCAATTTCAGCGTGGATACATTCCTTTCAGTATGTACAAGCAAGAGTTGATGCAAAAAAAGTTTAGCTTTGACTGCAAACCACTTTGCTCTCCTTTCTGTTTATTAACATAACTCTGGTTATATGAGTAAGGATGTAGAGGTGAACAAGGCTAAAATCGCCCCAGCCAGGTTCAGATGATGAGAGAAAAGAATGTTACGAGTTTTGCTTTCTCCACTGTCTTTGAGCAACGGTCACATCCAGGTGGATAAAAGAGACAGGTAGCCATTACTGCAGTGTGAGAGCCAGCTCCTTTCCTGCTTCTTGAAAGCTACCATTGGGGCAGCATTCTTCCATCTTCAGAGGTCAAATCCTTTCTACACCACTTTATGGCTGAATGACTACGGAAACATTGGCAATTTCTTCTTCAGCTAAGTGAAGATAATAATACCTGCTATGACATAACATGATCAGACTTTATAAACTCTAAAGTATTGTTCAAATATTAGCTACTGATGTAAATTCAATCTTGAAGTGTTTTTTTTTTTTTTATTACCTAACATAGGGGTTGGCAAATTTTTTTTGTAAGAGAATAATAGCATTTTAAGATTTGTGGACCATGTGGTCTCGGAAAGTCCTCAGCCAGTGCTGTAACCTACAATAGTCAGGGTCGTAACAATAGTTGTAACAACTCCATTCTGCCTCTGTAGGTCCTACAATAGTTGTAACAACTCCATTCTGCCTCTGTAGGAGAAAAGCATCCAAAGACAATATCTCATAACGGGCTTTGTTCCAATAAAACTTTCTTTATAACATGTCGGGGACGAGATTTGGCCCATGGGACACATTTGCAAATCTCTGTCCTACACCTTTGGTGAGAATGAAACACTAGAAGCGAGGGAAATATCTAAATTCTGGTTTTAGCATGAAGAGTAATATAGTTGGGTTTTGTGATCAGCTGTCCTGAGGCTTTCAAACATCTTTTGAAGGTACTCTCTTTGAAATTAGAGTTTTAATTTTGTACATTATCACCACCATCTTCATCATCAATATCATTTTGCACCTATCTGAGAAGTATTACCAAGAGAGGCATAAAAGAACCCTAGTTTTCTATACCTATCACTTGACCATACTCTCTTCTGGGAAAGACAGCTCTGATTATTGTTAAAGAAAGTATCAATCATACTTATGGTGAAAGGTCGCTACATTTTTTAACAAATTGGTCCTTTGAGCAAGATGAATTTTAATGGACTGGTTTATTAACCTAAAGGTTGAACCAGACTGAGAGTAACTGAATGATTTGCTCATAATTAGTATTATTTATAATTATTTTACTTGGGAAAAAATATCACCTTAAATGTCAGGATGTTTTTTAATTGCTTCAGATGAGATTCAAAATAATTGACTTCACAAATTTATTTTTAAAAACTCATTTAAAAATATCTGAAGCTGCTGACAGTCTGTCTAGAAGAGGCAAGATATTGATATTCATTACTAGGAACAGGGCAGAAATTGATCCATGATTTTTTTAACCACATGAATTGTGTGCTGTGGTCATTTCTGGACTCTAAAATAGCTGCAGCTGATAGAGTGATGCACTTGCTCCTATTCCTCATCAACTCTGCTATCTAAGTGAAGATGCTGTGTTTGTGGATGTAGGTATATGTTTCTTGCTCAAATACATATTCGCATATATTTTTAATAGAAGGGGAATAGGCACATGCTTGAATAAAGGGATGTAGATATGTATTTGGTATGGTTAGAAAAATACAAATAGCCTATGTATACATGGTGCATCTATTCATGTGATTTAGATAGGATATTAACTTTTTGGCAATGAGTAGGTATATGACAAATTTAGCATCTCTATAAATATTTGATTTATCAGTTGATTGGTGGAGATGAAAAAAGTAAGAGAATACATTAACAGCTCTGGAAGGGCAGCTTTTCAAATAATTTAAATTGTGAAATATGGGTAAGTCATGTAAGAAACATGCAGCAGAATAATGGCAATAAAACCTTATAATTATACTGACCTCGGAGAGTTATGAACTGTTGGTGTGCACAGCATAATCTCATGTGCTCCTGACATCTACATTTGGATGCACGAAGAAAGGATGGTAACAGTCTCATTTAACAGATGAACAAGAGAAGTCAAGTGATTTTCCCACCATCTACATCGCCTTCCCCATACACCACGTTGCCTCTGGAACCCAAGGCAAGGGTGAGTGCATCTACAGGCATCAAAGCCAGCTTCAGTCTTCACAGGCAGACTCAACCAGCCTGACCCCGTGTGCAGAACCCAATTTTCCATCCAAGATGGTTCAATGAGTTAAGTAATAAATGACCCAGAAAACACACACACACACACACACACACACACACACTCTTCAGGCAGGGAATATAGCAGTGGGATTATTAACTGATTGACAGAGTCTCTTATTTGCTTCTTCCAGGCATATTTAGTCTGATCATGTGCCTGAGACACAGTGTGACATTTGTTCCGGCAGCAGTGTCCAGGACACAGACAAATCACTCATCCAGGTAGCCAAGCAGACACCATCAATCATTATCTGCGTGTTTGAGAAATACAAAAATATAGCCAAGGTCAGGGAAAATAACATCTGATGGTGGCTAAAAAGGTAAGAACACAAAAATTCCTATTTGTCTGCCAAAGAGGTTACTCTAACAAGTGCTGTGGAAATAGAGTCATATATTGAAATTTCTTCACAGATAGTAGGTTAAGGCTAATATATCTTTATAAAATATATGTTATACATTATCTTATTCTTCACATATATATGTGCATACATATATGTGTGTGTGTGTGAAGCTCAATAGGCAAACCCCCTGCTGAGAATACGAAGAATATATTACCTAATTAATATTATTCATGCCATCTTTTATTTAACTAGCAATTGTAATCTATTAAGAGCATTTTTCACACTATCTTACTTATTCAACCCTCAGAAAAACCCTGTAGGGCTCATAAGTATTATATTATTATCTTCCTTTTATAGACAGAGGAAAAGGAAATGCAGATATTTCCTTTCTTAAGCCAATAAGTGGGAAAGCCTGGACTGGAATGTGGAATTTCTGACTCCTAATCCATTACCTGGAGCGACTGTGGAAGATCCGAAGGAAGAAAGGGAAAGTGTGAAACATGAGTTCCCAATGGAGAGGACCTAAAAACACCCTCAGACCAGAATTCCTTCTAGTTTGGGTCAAAGTCCAGAGTAGGTGTGGCTATATGACACACAAACCAAATGATTTGATTGACTTTCCGGCACACCTACTCACTCTGAATCTTCCTGTGCAACTGAGCCTTCAGTGTCAATCTCCCATCCTCTCATGCCTTGTGAAGTTTCTGGGGTGGCCGAGTTGGAACCAACTTCAAACCTTCTTATGTCTCTGTATCACTTTCCAAACTCTCCCTCTCCCACTCCGTGGTCAGCCTTTTGCATCACACCCTGCAAACATTTTTTTTCTTTTGCACTCCTTTGGGATGCCTCCCTCCTCTCTCCCTCCATCTCTGAACTCCTCTGCACTGCCTTTCCCTTTTAATCTCTGCTGACCACCTTCCGTGACTGCTCCATCCACTCATCCCCCGCCCCCGTCACGGCTGTCCTCTTGCAGGTACCTACCTCTGTGCTCTGCAGCCACACGCACCTCCTGGTTGCCCCTCAGATGTCTTGGTTCTGTCTGTCCGATGCTGCCAGCCTCCACCCAGGGCCTGTGAGCTGTGCATGTCTTCAAACTCTTTCTTATTTTTCCTCCTTAATTTATAATGCTAGGCAAATAACAACACAATAAAAGATGATATCAGCTGTGTTTCTCGACAGCAGCCTCCAGAAGTGTTATCTTAGACCCCATCATTGCAACAAAGAAATCTCTCAGTTGAGTGAGTGAAAACGTTACAGGACAGGAGGAGAAAACTTCTGCGCTTCCAAAATTCTGCAGCCCCAGCTGCCCTCCGGGGGCTCCCCCTTGTGGGAGATGTGGAGCATGGCAAGGCAGTGCCCAGTTGGGACGGTGCCTGGGTGGGAGGAGGGTGAGAAAAGAGTGTTCGTTCACATTCAGGGATATGCCCCAGAGGGCGTGGGGTTCGTCTCCAGCCATGAAGAACAGCCTCTGTGTGAGTTGCAAGGTTGAGGTACTCTGTAATTTATCAGGGAAACACTTTGGGGAGACGGAGTCCTCAGTGCCTGGAGGTCTCTGAGTCCAGGTGAGTTAGGTATGAGTAATAAGCCTGCATATGGCTTACACTCTCATGGAAACTCGTGTATCACAATATATCATAAAGTCAGATGTTCACACAAGGTGGTTCTGGGAGACAACGCGTGGTCTCCACTCTCTGAGTTAAAGACGTGATGGTCCAGTCTCCTGGATTCTCCTGCCACCGTGGAAACTTGGCTTTTTGATGCCTCTAAAGCCTAGGACACACTCTGCTCCCTACCTTAGTGAAAACAGACTGTATGTCCAAATAATATCTTTTTCCAGTGGAGCACACTCTCATTTGCACTAACCCACCCTGGCAGGTGTCGTTATCATCCTTCTTCTCCTCGTTTCAGTGTCACACAGCTTCTTTTGCTTGCGGTTATTATTGTTGGTTTTTTTGTCTTTATTCCTGCAGTATCTATGGAGAAACAGCTCACAAAGTAGCTGTGGGTTTTAATAAGTGAAGCTTTATTGTTGTGTTATTATTATTTGAGACAGAGTCTCACACTGTCACCTGGGCTGGAGTGTAGTGGCGCCATCTCGGCTCACTACAACCTCTGCCTCCTGGGTTAAAGAGATTCTCCTGCCTCAGCCTCCCAAGTAGCTGGGATTACAGGCACCCACCACCATGCCCAGCTAATTTTTTGTATTTTTAGTAGAGAAGGGGTTTCACCATGTTGGCCAGGCTGGTCTTGAATTTCTGACCTCATGCTCTGCCTGCCTCAGCCTCCCAAAGTGCTGGGATTAACAGGTGTGAGCCACCGTGCCCAACCAAAGCTTTATGATTTTAATCCAAGTTCCATCTTCATGTATGTTTCAGTACAGAGCTGCCACCAACATCAGAAAGGTAGTGGAATTGAATAGAGGCCAGTGGAAAGTGGTCTGAAATTTGTTTTGCTGAAATTAAGAGCTCCCTTGCCAGAACTGCTGGAAGAGTCGATGAGACAATGTGACGTGGCAAAAACAGCTCTAGGCTTCAACAGATCTAGACTTGACATGTTTCTCTACTACTTATTTTATGTTCAATTCACAACTCTCGCCTCAGTTTCTTTATCCACACAATGGAGTTGTTAGTTTCACAATCAAGATCTCACAACTGGTATGATGGCAAAATGAAGTAATACGTCACAAACCACATGCTAACCTACAGTTCAATGCTAGAGCACAGCTGTCATTCTGGAAGGTTTCCTTGTTTGGATTCCCCTGCCTGCCCTGGTCAACAGAGAGCATCCCACCAGGCCTATGGGTGTTTCCTCCACATTTGATCTAATGACCAGTTTTCTCCTGCAGACTCCATGTGAGTTTCTCTGTATCATACCCAGCATACTGTTCTCACAGCAGGGGAGCCAATCAATGCTTCTTAATGGTGTGGCTCATTGCCCTGTACTGAGGATGATCAGTGAGTGTCACTCCCATGTTTCTTCAGAGACAGGACATAGTCTAGACATACGGGGCAGGAGATCAGGAAACCTGGGTTCTGATCTTAGCTCTGCTTGCTAGTGCATTGGAAATGATACTTGGTTACACGACCCTCTGATTCTGTTGTAGCTACTTTATGAGCTCTTTCTTCATAACTAACAGTGGCACTATAGGAACAAAGATGAAAGACAGCCAGAACTTTGAGCAAAAGAAACTGTGTGCCACATAATAATGATGATGACAAAACAGAAGAAGGGATGTCAATTGATGATCTTGCTACGAACCATGAACTCAATAAATATTTATCAGACCTATGTTGGGCCTTGGGCTGAATATGAAAGGGTTAAACTGCACTCAAGATAATTAAACCCTGTTATAAACTCAAGCCAAGGGAAAAAAAGCAACAAGAATTTAGAGAATTCAAGAAAAGCTGCAAAAACAAAAAGATTCCCTTTCATGCAAATAGATCTAAAACTGAGAACCTTTAGTGAAAGGCCCACCGTGAAAGATGGGATCAAAATCCAGAATTACTTCTACAGGAGGAAGTATCAGAGGGTCTGGAGCATGTGAGGGACAAGGGTTCATGCGTGGAGAAACAGGAAAATGAGTGGTGATGGAAGGAGAGTCTTGTTCCCCTTTTGGATTGGCTAGAGCATTCCATTCTGCTCTGCACCCCACACCAGGAAAAATGCAGGACCCGGACAATAGGACAACCAAGATATAGAAGCAACTTGAAACCATGTCATGAGGAATTTGAAGAACTGGAAATATTTAGGCAGATAAACATAAAACTCTGTAATTGCTGTCTTCAAATATTTAAAGAACTCTGTTAGAAAAGGGGGATTTGCTCCTCTCAGCTTCAGGAAACAGAATGGAACTAATAGAGAGAAACGTCAAAGGGAAATATTTTTGATCCACTATAAGAAAAATATTCTTGTAGCTTGGTCCAAATTTGGAAAAGTCACGTTGTGTCTAGAGAAGGCTGTGACAGCTCCGTCACTGGACATTCTTTGGTCAAATGGAGGGCCAGGCATGGAGGCTGCCTGCACTGAAATAACCTTTGGGGATCCTTCTCGCTCTTGGACTATTTGAGTCTATGAACAACCTGCGATCCAAAAGGAGAAACTAAACAAAAGAAGCATGTGACATCCTCACACAGAGCATTTTAACTCCTGCTGAGGGATCTCGTGGTCTGACATGCTAGATGATCAGATAAATCCAAAGTGTGCTTGCGGCCTTTTCCCCTCTTTCCCTTGAACAGCAATTTCTTTCACTATCACAGGTAAGCTCAAGAGTTAAGCTCCTCCTCCGTGGGGTCAATGGCCTTTAGTACAGTGGAAAACACAAAAGAAAAGACAAAACTCCTACACTCTGATGATCAGTTTAAGGAGAATCGCAGGTTTTAAAAGAGATGTTTAGAAGCCATTTTATCAAATACCTCCCCCAATGTCTGAATTCCATCCATATCTTCCCTGATCGAGTGGTTGTCTGATCTCTGTCTGAACTTAACCTCTGAAGTCAATTTGATTGGAGACCATTCTGATGGGGCTCAAGAATAAGCAAAACACACACAAAGAAAACACAATCAGCAAGACATGGACGCAAGGGAAAAGACACCTTTAGTATAGTACCAGAGTAAAGACAGAACCTAAAGCTCATTAGAATTTCTTAAAGTTGGGGGCCACAGTGGCTACGGCCAGTTGTCCTGGCGCTTGAGGAGGCGAGGCTATGAGCTCAAGGCCAACCTGAGCAACATAACAAGCTCTCATTAATTAACAACAACAAAAAAGAATTTCTTAAAGTCAGAATTACAGTAAATTTTAAAAGTCCTATCTTCAGTTTGAGGAGACACACTTGTGACACACAGTACCAGTAAAAAGTATAGGTGACATTGTTGCCTATTCTGCAATCTTTTGCATCTATGTGTGAACCTTACCTTGCTGGTTAGGAAGGTATAAGAATAGGGGCAGAGGAAACAGAAAGAGTGCAGATTGCTAAAAAGGAAGGAAAAAATATGATGGGGCTATTGGCGGGGCTGGTATATGGAATGTGTTTGGAGTTGCTTTCATGATATTATCCCTGATAGAGTTGCAAAAAGGGGTGCAAAGCTGATAAGGGTGTCAGATAAGATAAACAGAGCATTTGAGAATTGACCTCTGATTAAGCAGAGGGAACACTGAGCTCAGAGAGAGGAGAAAAAAGAGTTCAGGGATGAAGAAAAAGGGAGAAAAATTAAATGTAGGGAGACGTGAAGGAAGAACTTATATCTGGGAGGTTTCCAAGACCACCTTGGGGTATCAAGGGGTGATGAGAGGCAGGAATAAGGGTAAATATTGAGGAGGAAGAAGGAGGCCAGGTATGGAAAGATATTTTGAGTAGAGAGAAACAGAAAGAAAGCTAGACCCATCATAAGACTTGGTGTCTCCATTTCCGGACTAGCTCACTTCTCAGCGGATAGCAACAAAGGGCACCTTCCTGGCTACAAAAGATTTTTAGTTCACGAGAAAAATCTGAATCGATTAAGTGTTGACTAGACACCTCCTATATGCTCAGGATGCAGGAGAGATACAGAAATCAAGTTCCACACTAATCTGGATTACTGTTAGTCAGCTAGCAATCATTTGCTCGGTAACTACTCTTGGCCAAAGACCATGGTAAGCATCGGGAACGCGACTGGAATGACCAGGCTGACCCTCCCAGGGGTCACAGAGTAACGAGTGAAGGGGAGAAACACAGCCAAGTGTAAAACTCCTGCAAAGGAGTATAGGGTGCTGCGAAGGAAAACAACAGAATATCCAAAGAATCATTCCTAGGTTTTATGTTTTTACCAGAAAAAACATGTCAGACGCCACAAAGAATCAGGAGCAGTCAGTCTACAGGAAGTGTCATCCTGACCTGGAAATGTCAGAGAGAATGTTCTTAGTCCCCAGTGTCCAGACAAGGGCAGTAGAGGCTGAGCCCAGAAAAGGACCACTGAGGAACTGGCCAGGAGCCACACTGGGGGCTGCACTCCTCAGGGCAATGAGGAGGCTCAGAATGGAAGGAGGAAGCCTCCCACTCCAGATCCTTCTCCGGCAGACCCCACTCACCCTGCCAGGTGACAGTTCGGTGGATATGACTTCCACCCGTGGCTAAGCAAGGAAACAGCCTCTT